ATATAAGATGCGAGTGTATTATTGGCCATTACATTTGAATTGCATAAACTATTTTGTCTACTTCCATTAATAAACGAAATACATATTTATATTAGGGACATAAAGCTACTTGAAATAATTCGCCGGTATTAATTGGTATCGGTATCCGTAACGCAACTAGATACGTTGAGAAGCCAAAAGGCTGTTAAAGCGCTCCCTGTTCCGGTAAACGTACGCATCTCATAACCTAGTAATTTTCGTGTCAAAACTCCAGCGATTTTATATAAAATTGTTATTTTTTTTGCGATAGAGAAGCACTAAACACACAAGAAACTCAAGAAAGTATAAACTAAATAATTTAAATCAACCCGGAAGAAAAGTGAGGTTATATTCATTTAAAATTTGACACATGCGTTAGGAATGTCAAGATACGTTACCGATACGGATACCGCGAGAGGGCTGTAACGTTACGTTGTACGTACGCTATCTTGGCGTCCGTATCGCTTCTGCACATGCGCAGTACGATACCGATACGGATACCGACCAAAAAATACGGAAGCTTTATGTCGCTAATAAGAATAGTAAACTTCTCAACCGGTGACAATTGTTGACAGCTATTGACAATTTCGAAAATTAAGATCTGTGATTAAGATCTGGACGTCATTTGGGGATAAATTCTGCACTCGATTTATTAATTTGTTGTTGTTTCTTTTGGTAAATACTAATAGAAACAATCCAAAACAAGTCTGTTATTTTTATATAAACATTGTTCATGTTCAAAATAACTCGATTCCAGTGGCTAAAAAATCTGTATCATAATGAAGTTCATTATGAAACAGATATTATCGACTCTATAATTTAAGTAATTAATAAAACCACGATTTAATTTTAAGCTTCTTCAAGAGAAAAGAAAGAAAGTCTTTACATAAGCTACCTCCAATGAAGGGTAACAGCTAAGTGTTCTCATCAACACCTCAATGGTCCGAAGTTCCCATGTGTGTACTTTATGACGTCCATAACTCCATAATCCGTCTAGGTACCCCAATGTACTACCTGTCGTCAAAGTTTTCGACGATAACACAGATTTTAATCGTTTAAGAAGCGTATTATGAAACATCAGTCGAAAAAATATTTTACCAAATAAAAAAGAAACACCACCTATACCTAACATGAATTTGCAAAGCGAAAAAGTAACTTTTGAAAGAAAAATTTGTGTAACAAAATTATGACAATTGACTCAAAATCTCCATTGTCAAGCAGTCTTTCGCCAATGGTGCAGGGTGTTTATTTATAGCTAGAACACTCAGTAACTTTTTTATTATTGAAAATAGAGGCCATGTATAAATTGAAAAATTTCTTAGTTAATTGCAACGATCTTAATCGCTACACCGATATTTTTTTGCGCCATAGGTATACAGGGTACGCCAAAAAAGTCATTTTTTTTTAATGGATTGCCCTGTATGTTTTTGAATTTTTAAAATTCTAAAAAATTAGCTTCACAAAAATTTCAAACACTATTTGGATAACAAAAATTCACAGGACGTTCCATTGAAAAAAAATAGTTTTTTAACGCACATTATATACCTATATGGAGACAAAAAAAATACCGGTGTAGCACTTAAGACTCCAATTTACCAAGAAATTTTCCAACTTGAACATGCACTCTATTTTCAATAATCAAAAAGTAACTGAGAGTCCCAGTTATACACAAAGTCCCAGTACCAGATCTGAGATCAGAACTTTTGTCTCCAGTGACTTCACCTGTAACCGGCTTGGCAATGGCGTCAAACACTCATCCCAGAATCCCAGCCGTACTAATATTACCAGCTTGTTGAAAAATCATTATCAGTACCTATCTAGGTATAATAATAAATGAATGTCGATTCTTTAAAAATGTGTGTATGTAATGTCTGCCCAGCGAGTCTGTGTCTACGGGGCAACGGTAAGGGGAATGCAGTTGTAAAAAAAAATGGCTGATTTCATTCATAAAATACCCAGCTGCGTGCGGAATTTTTGGAAGTGTTATCGTATTGCAACTCGTACACGAAAATCAGCAATGACCAAATCTCCGCCACTGGATATGTCAATATAAATCGATATTCCAAGATGGGAGGATAAAATGACGTCAGCCCTGGCCAATAGCGAGAAGTAAGGTGACGTTAGCTCATTGACAACCGTATGGTTCCCCATGACAACAGCGATCCTGCCAAAAGCTCCACCAATCAGGTTCATCCAGGACAGATGCTTGCCAAATTGTCAAAAGCTGATCGTATCTTTAGAAAATGTTTATTTTTTACAATAAACCAAACTGAAGAAATCAGGATTAAAATAAGGATAGGTCTAACAACAACGTTAAAATATTTAGCGTTTTATTATTGTTATCAATATTTTGTTATCAAAAAATGGATTTTCAAATTAACTATACCTCATGCCTAATATTTTCGCTTTTTTATAATTAAACGCGGCAACATGGCACATTTACGTCCGAATTCCTTCCGTAGACTCAGATCCGCTGGGCAAACAATACAGGGTGCTGCAATTTGGAGTGTTTTAACAGGAAAAACACACTTCCAGACCAGATAGAGGAAAATTGACTTAGATGTCATGGGATCGATTTTCGAGAAACGTCGATTGTCAAAAACCGTATCGCGATATCTTCAATGGTACCATTAATACAGGGCGATTTCGATTTTCCCCTATTATGAAAAATGGCTATAAGTTTTTTATTTATCAATTTTTTTCATTTCTGTAAAAACATTATGGAGACACTTTTTTGAGCACAATCCAGTGGCGGACTCGGTTTTTTTCTATATCGCTCCGATTTCGAGATATCGACCAAATTCCGATATTTTCAAATGGAACATGCTTTATATTAATAGCTCATTGGATAGCTCTGTTCTTGCTGATTTCAATGATATAAAGTTCGATAGGTTTATCTCTAACAGTTTTCCAGAAAAAAAATTATATCTGTTTCAGTCATAAGAAACAATGTGTTAGAAAGAGACCTTTCTCACTTTCCTTACACATATAAAATCCTTTTCTAACACATTGGTCCTTACGACAAAAACAAATATAATTTTTTTTCTGGAAAACTATTAGAGATAAACCTATCGAACTTTATATCATTAAAATCAGCAAAAACAGAGCTATCCAATGAGCTATTAATATATAGGGAGTTTCATTTGAAAATATCGGAATTTGGTCGATATCTCGACATCGGAGCGATATCGAAAAAAATCGAGTCCGCCACTGGATTGTGCTCCAAAAAGTGTCTCCATAATGTTTTTACAGAAATGAAAAAAATTGATAAATAAAAAACTTATAGCCATTTTTCATAATAGGGGAAAATCAAAAATCGCCCTGTATTAATTGTACCATTGAAGATATCGCGATACGGTTTTTGACAATCGACGTTTCTCGAAAATCGATCCCATGACATCTAAGTCAATTTTCCTCTATCTGGTCTGGAAGTACGTTTTTCCTGTTGAAACACTCCAAATTGCAGCACCCTGTACAATATAATACTACGAATGTTGATCCTAACTCAGGCATAAAGTATTTTTCCTGCCCTTGACTGCTTATTTGAACTCCGCTTCGCGTCGTTCGGTTCAACGGCAGTCGCGTGCAGGAAAGTATAACTTTCTGCACTTGATAGGATAATAACTATTGTTGTGCCGGCCACCTGCTACTGTTTTGAATGATTTTGAAGGGTTTTTGTCACTCAGTTGAAGGAAAGTCGTCAAAAAAAGTCTGACAACACTGCTACGACATCATTGTTCTTTGTGCATCTCTGGGTCGGCACGGTCCATGCGTTTTTATTTTGTGAATTTGAGTATTCTACCTGGCATATTTTTATACTTTGCGAACTTTGGGACTAGGCAGGCATTAGAAAGCAACGGCTTTGATCGGGCAGGCAGTCAGATATTTTCTTGTAATGCCTTTAACTGTGATATATTTAATTTTCACTCGAAACGCGATGAGTCGAATTTTGAGAAAAATTTCAGTCGATTTTTATCTGACAGGCGCTATTTGGCAACTGATTTAGGTAGACAGGCATTCGAAATCATACTTGGGGGTGTTTGTTCTATGTTCACACAAATTTTCATGCAAAACGCGATGAGTCGGTTTTTGCTTTTACAAAATCTCGTTAAACATTTTTTTATTAATAAACGCAACCGATACGAGCAGGCAGGCACGCGATTTCGTATTGTTCATGATTGATTCTACATTTCCTAAATTTTTCAGCCATAATAAAATCAGCCGGATTTTTTTTCACTGGCTCTTGTACTATAATGTTAATAAGCGTTCAAGAGACTTTTTAATTCTGGAGCCTTACAGTCTAGTGAAATTCTCAGGATTAAGCATCCCCATATAAGTTTGCTCAAAACTGCCACTACCTTATCCATCGTTCATCAATAACTTAGGTTTAAGTCATCATCGGCGATTGTTTAAAACTATGACGGTATTTGTATTATTTAAAGGTAGATGGTAACAGAACGTCGACATAACAATTAAATTCTTAAAATAAAGTATGTAGATGAAAATGGCAGAAAAGGCGATTTGAGCAATGGTAGCACATGATATTCTGGACGCAAAGGCACAGATCACCTAATACAGATGCGTAAGTACGTTACGTATACTTGCCGTCGACGATATTCTGTGACGAAGCCGGGGAGCTAGCGCCCTGACGCATAGTTACAGATCGCCCGCGTCAGGTCAATTAACGTGGCCGGGTGCGTGAGCATGTTCCAGCCTGTGTGTTTACATATTTTTTCGGGTAAAAAAGAATATTTTTTTCTGTCCAATTAAAGAAATAATATTATATTATTGAGCTTCCGCATTTATATAATAAATATGTTCAAAATACATTGATGCGGCATTGGTGCGGCCAGCCTATGTCTATCAAATTAATCTTGAACCATGAATTCGCCGCTCTTTCGCATCTGTATGTAAGTAATCTGTGACAAAGGATCAACTAAAATCATACTTACATTCTCACTAACATTTTGTCCACTACTAACTACAGTGCCATGAGACAATGATTGTTGCTGTTGCATCGTAATCGCATCGCAGCCACCCGAATCTTCCAACAGCAACTGTTCATTTACATCAAAGCCAAAGATTAGACCTGAAGGCACTTCTTTGGGCAAACCCGACAAAATCACTACAGGAGGAGGACTGCTACTCATGTCCATTGGCTCATCCGCAATCGAATGTTGCCGAGGCTCTGGTGACGAAAACGAAATTTCGTCAGAGACCCTAAGAAAATAAAATACATATTAAGAGACCTACCAAGATGACAGAGAATGTGAAAAATAAATTTCTGGCATGAGTTCTAGTCAGTAGTACGTAAGTGACACTCACCCATTAACCATTCTAACACCCTTTTCCTCCGCATTATTAGTATCACAGACAGACGCCATCAGCGGCGCCACCACTACCACATCATTTTCATCAGCCACTTCATTATTAACTTTAGAATCACCAAGATGATTAGTCTTGGCCGGGTTGTTGCCCTTTTTCCGCTTGCTTTTGCTACCGCCCTGATGGGCGATGGGCACAGCGTCTGACGGAGCACTGGGATATGATTGTGTGTAAGACACTTGGGTGGAATCGTTATGGGAAGAACTCTATGGAAAAATAAAGTGAGTAAAACATATAGATTATTTTGAAGTTGTAGGTCTTGAAAAAAAAAATCCTAAACAATAAATACAATTACTTACATTACACGTTATAGGGATACATTGCATGAACTGCATCTTTTCTATAGTGGAGACGTCTACGATATCAGGTGGCATTCTTTGAGTGGCGTAATTGGCAGGATCCCTCATGAGCTGTGAAAGAAACTGGAATAAGGTTGAGTGGGTGGGTTCAAAATGATTAATGGGCGTGTTTTTCTTTTCGAATGACCTTGGTTGTGGTTGTGCTTGTTGTTCGGAAAGATTGTGTATGTGTGTGGGTACTGACTGTATGGATAATTAGGTGATTTTAATTATGATTGAATGCATGCTGATTGGTTATTTAAAGTTTTTAAAGGTTTAAATGTGACTTTTCATTTTATATTTTCAGGTTATCATTACTTTGAGCCTAGCTTGTTAAAAAAAAGTGTAAGTTAAATTATTACAAATCAAAATAATATGTATTTTTGTGTCATCTGTGTGATCACAACCTTACCTTATTCTTTTGTACACCATGCCCACTAAACATTCTTATGAAAATATACACAGTTTACCTGTCTATTTATCATTTCTATACTAAAAAAAAAACAATTCAAAAATGTTATCCGATGTAGACACAAATTTTGTTTCAAGATTAAATAATAATCAGGTTGCACTTGTGTTTTTTTCTTTTGGTGAAATGTTTGTCAATAATTTCGATTATTCCAGGTAAAACGTTAACTGTTTACTTGCTTAAGCAATAATTCCTATAATAACTGATAAGCATGCATACATTACTGCCATCTCGAAAGATAGGGCAGGCTAGATTTTATCACTGTCTCCTTTAAACATAATTAGGATTTGTTTCAATCACATAGTAGTTTCTTCTCTTTGCGAACTACCTTAAATTCTTCACAATTTCCAATGAGAATAACTTACAAGAGGATAGATAGATAGTCTAATAGTATGGTGCAGTAGAAATTGTTATTGCAGAAGATATGTTAAAAGTGTCATAGAATAAAGGTATCAAGGAAGAAACCCGCTTTAACATTGAGATATTAAAAATAAAGAGGAAGGATACAAAACTAAAGTTTCCAATATATAAGTAATTACTGTCAATTGGGTGTTATAATTATTAAGACAAACATTTCTGTATCTAGTTTTAAATGAATAAGTAGCTCTGATAGGTTTGGAACTAAAAAACAAGTTAGTGAGCACACTAAAAACTGACTCTACCATCACTGTGCAAAAACCGTATTCCAGATAAAATAATGCTGAAGTACATAACATACCACCAAATAGCAGCAACAGTGTGTTAAAAACCAGATGTCAAATTTTTGACATGACGCTTCCTAGATAAATAACTACCTAATTAATGATTGTCAATGTCATTTCAAACCATGAATTCATTTTAATAAATCTTGACATTTTTTCAGGTTTTGATATAATTTTTCGGGGATAATACCACATAATACCACGAGAGCTTCAAAATTACGGATAATTTTTCACGATTCAAAAATGTCCCAATGAAACCTATTGAGAATTTTTGTTTTTTTTTTGTAAGGCAAAATGAGCTCTTACCAATCAATGAAAAAAAAGATTGCGTTCCAATTTAAAAAAAAAGATCAATTACGTCATATCTTGGAGAGGAATTATTTTTTCTCCTATATCTCTGCGTAACTTTTCCCTACACGTCTTCTTATACCTCTTTCCAAAATTTCATCAAATTCCATCGAGCCGTTTTCACAGAAAAATGCCAACACACACACATACATACATACATACTTACATACAGACATACACACAGACGGAAATGTGCCACCTTGCCAAAAAGGCTTAAAATGATCCAAAACTGTGATCCAAAACGTCAAGATTTAATGAAATTTTGACAAGGTCAATCACCATTAGGAAGCTAATAAGAATACTAGAACTTGAACTTAAAAGTAATAATTTGTGTATGAGTTTGGGAAAGGACCTCAAGCTTCCAATCGGGAAAGTCAGTTTGGTTAAAAGTGACTTTTTTAAAGAGTACAAGAATGTCACTCTTAAAATTCCTGCAATTTTTTTATACTTGTTACCCTTTCTTTGTTCATTGCCTTTTAAAATTCTACAATTGCTTTTGTATACAATTAAGTGGTGGTTTATTCACCTTCTGATAAACTGTCAGGTATGCAATCTGACAAATAAAAACGCAATTTGTAATTCCATTGGTCGGCCAGCTATCCGCCCACCAATAGAATTATAGAATCTTGCAGATAATTACCCGCAAGTTTATCTGGAGATGATTAAACCAAGCCTAAGAGGAGCACAAATATTCGAGTAAGCACATGGTTAAAAGCATTGGTTAACAAAATAACAAAGCAAATATAAAACAAAAAGCCACAAAAGTCATCTGACAAAAATGCTGACGCAAATAATATCCAGAACCAGAGTGAATCAACATAAGCAAATATAAGAAATTGAGACTATTTTTTAAGCATTAAGGTATATTTTAAATAAGCTGAAAAGCAAAAAATAGCCTTAATTTATCATGGCAGCATAAATAAAAAATAAAAAAGCAAACTCACCGACAACTCATTATGAACGTCACCCTGAACTCCGAAAAATCCTTGTACACTATTTGTTTGTTGCGTAGCTTCACTGTTTTTATTTTTCCTATCCTTTCCTACATTATTATTTACATTACTATTATTATTGTTAATAGGCATAGCCGGCCGTTGTTGCTTTAAGCTTGAAACTTCAAGTCCATTATCGGCCTTCTGAGTATCGCCAGAAAACGTTTTTTCACGCACAAAATTGTCTTCATAACCTAAAGTCGATTGCACAGCCTTATCACTTGTCTGAGTCTGCGCGGTAGTACTGACGGCGACCGCTGTAGTCTTTGTGGTGCTGCTAGTAATAGCAGGAAAACTTTTGATATTGTTCACATCGAGAACTATGGGTTTTGCTACTGTTGGATTTATTGATGACGAGGAAGATGATAGATTTATTGGTTTTTCTATGGAATTTGTGAGTTGCGTTTGGGCTATATTTTTTGAGTCGGGTTCGTGGTGCTTTGACAGTTGAGGTGATTTTTCTTTATTGTTGATGATAGAACGTTCTTGTTTTTCAGGGCTCGGTTTCTTTTTTTCACTGTTTTTAGCTAGAAATAATTGGAAAAAATTAAATTCAAACATTCTCTAATGTTCAAACACTAACCAATGTCTGCATAAGAAATAGGACCATCCAAGGGTAATGAATGGACTGAATCCACATCGGAAGAGGAATCGTTACTCTTCTCGCTGTGGGGCATTGATCTAGTTGTTTTTGCATTAGAAACACCTTTCCAAAAAATTCAGTCACAAAAAACTACAAAACAAAATAATAGAAATAGCTTACCAACTATGACGACGCCTAAATCAGGAGAAGGTGCCCTTCTTGATCTGCGATCCTCATTGCTAACTAGAGAAGAAACTCCACTGGCCGAGGAATGTTGTCTACCACCAGTTGCACTACTTACACTGTTCCTACGTTTTTTACTTTTTTTCTTTGGTCTTGTCACTTCCCAATTACTATCGGTCGCAGTTTCCAAATTTTCCAAAGATGAAGCATTGTACAGTGTTTGAAATGAATGAGGCTAAAAAATATTAAAAAATGGATACAAAACTGTATTCTATTTTTGAGAAGCTAACAAGTATAGGTAGTGAAACAAAACTACCTCAACATTGCCCCAAGACCTCCTCTCCCTAGTTCTATCCATAGGTTTGTTACCCCTCAAAACAACGTTTTCCTCATCTTTTTCTGGTTTATTTTTACCAAAAGCTTCAAACTCTCTATCCAATTTCATACCAGAAATTTCACTGAGAGAATTACTTTTCTGAAAATGACAAAGACCATAGAATCTTTATCGGAGAACAAACAACAATAAGCACCAATCGGTTAACTTGGAAAAAAAAAACTTATTTTCATTTTTCTAATTGGTGCCAATGCTTCAAACTCTTGGTTTTCATATCACAAATTTCAACAATTTTCTAAAAGTGACAAACACATTGACCTTTATTTGTACAGGGTATTTGATTATATTTGGCACCATACCTACAGCCTTTACTATTTAAGATAGAAGAAAATTGTAAATACAAAATTTGACAGTTTTTTTCTATATTCTCTTAACGTTATCAGAAAAAACAAAATCGCATCAGAAAATGGAGAAACGTAGACAACTTCGACTTTTTTAAATGGAACACCCTGTATATTTTGCGATAAAATGAAAGACCTTTTCTTCCTAATTACAAATATATATATGTTGACCATATTTGCGTCAGCCATTTTTGACATATCTTAGCTTAAATTATAACTAAATTACAAAGAAATTTTATAAAGATAGAGATCCTTATGGAACTTCTCTGCAAGTTCTTTATAATTTAACTTGAGATATGTCAAAAATTGCTTAAGCAAATGTTATCAATATATATATATATTTGGAATCAGAAAGAATAGATCTTTCATTTTATCGCATAATATACAGGGTTTTCCATTAAAAAAAGTCGAAGTTGCTTACGTTTCTCCATTTTCCGATGCGATTTTGTTTTTTCTGATAACGTTATCAGAAAATATAGAAAAACACTGTCAACTTTTGTATTTAAATTTTTTTTCTATCTTAAATAGTAAAGGCTGTAGGTATGGTGCTAAATATAATCAAATACCCTGTACACAAACAACAATAAACCCCAATGAGGTTACTTATGAAAAACAAACTAATTTACATTTTCCAATTAGTGCCAACTTGTTAAGCTACTGGTATATTGAACTAAGAAAATACAGAGTGTCCCAGAATGTTAAGCTAATATTCGAGAAAAGGTTATATTTCAAATATTCGTTTTCGATATGTTGAGTGGTAGAAATTGAAATTATACCCAGACAAACACGCAAAAACCATGCAAGAAAAGGAATACGTTTAAAAAGTTATGCTGACCAAATTTCTTTCTAGTCTTCAATTATTTTGTATATAACATTATTTCTGTCAAATTCTTGAGCTGCCTTCTTCTCTGCTTCCGTTTACTTGTTAAATGTTTTTTTTTTGTCAAGTACATATAAGTATTCTTTGTCACTGGTCTTCACCTGAACAATTCTCAGTGCTTACACTCTCCCTAATGTAACTTGAGCATCACGTTGAATGAACTATTTGGTAATAATTTTGAAAAAATATGTGCACGACATTTTGGACATTCTGTATTTGTAATTTTTTACCGGGTTTTTTTTACCCTTTCCTACTTACACTTACCTTAAGTTCGTGCCTCCCATCATTACCACTCTCATTTTCCTTTGTTCCCGACTTGTGCCGCCTTTTCCCAGTTTTAGAGCCTCCTTCCTCTGTAGTATGTTGTTTGTGTAATTGTTTCGATTTTGATTGAACCGGTCGACTTTTCAAGTTATTTTCGGTCGTACCTTCGATGAAGTGCAACAATTGATCCACATTGTTAATTATTTCAGATCTGTGACCTTCGATCTACATTAAAAGAAATTTTTAATACCAGACACAAGTTTAAATTTTTACACTTACGTTTTGTGACAAAACAGTAACATTCTTATCGCTCTGTTTTTTCTTCTTTTTCTCTTTGGTCTGATGGAGAGCGTTGCCGTTTTCGTCCACTTTCTGAAAATAGAAAAACTATTTCACGTAACAAAAGCTGGCTATACTCATAAATAATCAAATAAATAAATGATAAACAAACCTTCTCTTCCACGCTAGTCGGTTTGGCAGGGTAAGTAGGGATGATGACTTGATATTTGCTGTGTTGCACCACTTTGGCTAGGGTGTTGGCGTCGATGTACTTTTTGTCAGCCACCGGAGTGTCCAGATCTAAAGGACCTAATGATACTGGATCATCTACGTTTGAGGCACGGTTTGCTAAAAATCGAAATCAAAATGAATTCCTCTGTGCAACAATTTGTGATATATTTTTTTGAGTTTATTTATTTTTGATTTTTTAATGTTACAAATGCTTACATTGTATATGCAATGTGGCCTTACTCGTATACTTAGGAATCGCAGTGGCTATATGACTCTCCTGGGGCGTAGAAGATCCTCCTCTGCTAGGGCCGCTACCATCAATAAGGCGTTCATCATAACCCCTAAAATGAACAATAAAGAAAAATTATCTTGTATCACAATTTAAAAAAAATTATTTTTAGTAAATATTATAATTATTGATGGTATTATCCCAAAGGCAAAAAACTCTGCTTAAACACTAGGTACCCGATCACCTAAAATATTAAACAGTTTTTACCATACGATGTACCTGGCAAGTAGATCGTTCTCGATTAGCCGTTCTTTTTCCATGTCCACTAGGGCTAGTTCTTTCTCCTTCATTTCTTTGCTTCTTTTGGCCTCTTCTAGAAACTCGCGGGAACTATCACCAGAGTTTACGTTGCTCGGAAGGCTGCCTGAAAAAGAATAGAAGATTATAAAAGAAATACTTTGAAATTTCTTTCTTGAATGTCTATGTAATACTAATTCAGATAATAAGGCTTCTCCTTATAATTATTCATAGATAATGAAATAAAAAAAGAGAGATAAATCTTAATAAAATAGTTATAGAATTGGTATATTAACAAAAATAAATAACTATAAAGCTGGATTTGCTTGAGCTTGCTGTTCCTGAGTTTCGAGTTCGTGAGTTTCGCATAGTTGCCATCCAATATAAACTACACAAACTGCTAACAAGCATTTATAAACTTGAGTTTGGCTTTGCTGAAACTGTCAAAGATGACCATCTTTTATGTTTTTTGTTCTGTTTTAAGGTGCTGGCCAACAATAGGCTAATATTGATCCAGTATGGGACGTGGAATACGTATTTATCACATGGCTTATTTACTTCTCTAATATAGAATTACAGAGTTTATGGGTAATTTTTATTTCATTGATTGCCTTCTAAACGTGTCTTTTATTGTATATTTGTAATACAAATTTTTTTAATCATATGGAAAGCCTTTTCTGTAAGAAACAGGTTCATATAATTTTTTTAATCCCATTTTGACGTTTAAAAGTGACATTATTGAACGCATAACAATAAAGGTAAGTAGACGTTTATCACCTCAGTGATTTAATAGTAGATTATACCACGAGTCAATAATGATAGCTATTATTCCCGAGAATTATTACGAACTGAGCCGCGTTAGCGGCGAGGCAGTAACATTCCGAGGGAATAATAGCCATTATTGCGAGTATTATACTCTACTTTATTTACGACAAATTAATTTATTTGAGATTTTCAATGAACAAATTTCATCCGTCTCATAATTTTCAATACAAATCCACAAGCACTACACGTTTGACATTGACACTTTTGAGGAATAATGACCATTAATCCCGCTACTCGTCATTATTCCCTGAGGGGAATAACATATGTCATTATACTGCCAAAATCACAAATATAACACACACATTATACATTAGTCGTAAATAAAAAGATTTTAACTCATTCTCGGCATTTTAAGTCACTTTGCCCAACTAAACATATCTGATACCTCAGTGATTTAAAATATTTTTAACTCACTCTTGGAATTTTTTTTTGAACTTTATTTTTTAAATTTCCACAAAATGGGATAAAATTTTGTATACATCACGTGAGTTAAAATATTTATTCATTCGAAGAAAATTAACCCACTCGCTAGGGCTCATGGGTTAAATCCCATTTTGACATTTAAAAATGACATTATTGAACGCATAATAACAAAGGTAAGTAGACGTTTATCACCTCAGTGATTTAAAGATTTTTTAACTCACTCTCGGCACTTTAAGTCACTCTGCCCAATTAAAGCTCGGATACCTCGGTAATTTAAAGTATTTTCAACTCACTCTCAGAATTTTTCCTTGTTCTTTATTTTTTAAATTTCCACAAAATGGGATAAAATTTTGTATACATCACGTGAGTTAAAATGCTTATTTATTTAACTCACTTGGTGTATAAATAACTATTATATTCTATGGAAGTTGACGATATCCAATGTGACTTTTTAATATAATCGTAATAGACCAAATTCTCATTCAACGCGTTACCAGCAACACCACTCCTCCTTCGGAGTCGTGGTGTTGCTGCGTAAAAAGGTCTGGGCACACATGACCGCACCGAGTCCGCACCGAGCCCGCACCGAGACACGGCCGTGTCTCGGTGAATAGTTGTACCGTGTTTTCTTATGTCGTAGTCTTCACATCTACGCACCGTGCCCGCGCCGAGCCCGAGTGACACCACCGCACCGCGTCCGTACCGTGCGAGATTAGTTTTGTTTAATTTTTTGACGGGCACGGTGCGTTGCAGAAATGGAGAAACTGATAGAAGAAGTCAAAAAGTATCCTGTATTGTACGACCAAAGAAATGAAAAATATAGGAATGCTGAATATAAGGAAAGGGTATGGACTTTAATTGCTACGCATTTAGAAATAAAGGGTAAGTCAAAATACATATGTTTTATTTTCAATTAAGAATCCTGTTAAAATAGGTTGAAATTGATTATACCTACTATACAGGGTGAATCTGAAAGTGAGGTTTTATTTTCAAAAGGATATATATCTCCACCAAAATAAGTACGACCGTCATGCGGCCGTGTGTTGGAAATGTGTGGCTTTTACCTTATTGAGCGACACACTGCCGTGTTACTGCACGGACTCGGTGCGGGCTCGGTGCGGATACGGTGCGGTCATGTGTGTCCAGACCTTAACGCGTTTCGTGACAAGTAATAGTATTTTAAATTATTAGCCAGTTAAAACAGTTTTTACTGGCGATTGAAGGAAATGACTAGCGAGCCATCAGGCGAGCTTGTCACCTTCAATTATTCTTGAGATAAAACTAATTTTTTGAAAATAAATAATTCTATTGACTTGTAAAATTTTTTTTCCTACAGCCGTGCGGAAAAATCGATTTTCTGCACTGATATGCGTGCGGAAAATGAGTTTTCCCGCACGGTGCGTTAAAACTTTTTTTTTGACATATCAGTGCGGAAAAAGCTTTTCCGCACGGCTGTCAGTGCGGAATAGTTATTTACCTAACAAATGCGGAAAGTGATACTTTACCGCACGCAACGGCAGTGTGCGGTAAAGGCACTTTCCGCATGTGTTAGGTACAAAATTTTACCTATGAGCATCTACATCTCCAAAAAAAGGCATTCATAAAATTAATTAATGAATCAGATTAATTAATGAAATTAGATAAGATTTAGAAATGATCAAAAATCCATTTTCTGAAAGAGAGAGGATTTTTTATTATAAATATCAAATTCTACTTTACCGCACACTATGCGGTAAAGTGCACTTTACCGCACACTTTGTATTCTACTTTACCGCACACTTTGTATTCTACTTTACCGCATACTATGCTGTAAAGTTAACTTTACCGCACACTATGCGGTAAAGTGCACTTTACCGCATAGTGCGCGGTAAAGTGATACTTTCCATTTGCAAATACGTGCGGTAAAGTGCACTTTACCGCACGCTCATAGGTAAAAAAATTTACCGCACTGATATGTAAAAAAAAAAGAAAAATTTTACATTTTTTTGCCTGTAGGAAAAATATTGTACCTAACACTTGCGGAAAATATTTTTCCACACTTGTTAGGTAAATAGCTATTACAGTTAGCTGTCAATTTTACAAGTCAGTAGAGCCAGTAGCTTGTAAAAATCAATTTTCGTTGTTTATGTTTTGACTTGATAAGTGTCAAGTCTGATACAAGTCAGTAGAATTATTTATTTTCAAAAAATCAGTTTTACCTGGCTAATGATGTAAAATACTATATCTGGTAATCCTGAAACCTCTTGTGGTATTACATTCGAGAATTCATTACATTACAGTTAGTGAGAATAGTATAAATTTAAAAATTGTTGAAGTACCGGGTGATTGTCTATATTTTGCACCCACACCTAACTGAGCTGTTTGGAGAGATACCCAGAAATGTCAAATGTGAAAGATGTAGGAAATATCAGAAAGTTTTCAATGAAGTTAGTTACAAGGGTGTGTCGCAAAAGTGTGGCAAACCCAAGTTAAACTTTTTTAAATGGAACACCCTGTATATTATTGACCCATAGGATTAGCCTTTCAAGCCTGATTCCAGAAAATAAGAAAAAAAGGGCTGGAATAATAGTTATTTATGTATCAAGGGAATTATAAGGGTGTTAATACCCCAGGGCGAAGTGTATCTTCCGAAGACCTTCGGCCCGAGGGACACTAATTGCCCGTGGGTATTAACACCTGATAATTCCCGTGGTACATAGATAATTTTATTTCCTACTGAATTCACTGTATTTTGTTCATTTTTATAAAGGATTAAAGCATAAATCAAAATTTTTATTTTTTGTCAAAGTTTCACCTATTCAAGGTAAAAGCGGGAGTTATGAAATCCTTTAACTCCCTTGGGAGTTGAGACCCTGTTTATGATTATCGTAACCAAGGTATTATATGGTTATAATAGTTCAGTAGGAAATAATAGTTATTTATGTATCAAGGGAATTATGAGGGTGTTATTACCCCAGGGCAAAGTTTGTGTCCCGAGGGCCTTTGGCCCAAGGGACACCAATTGCCTGTGGGTATTAACACCTGATAATTCCCGTGGTACATAGATAATTTTATTTCCTACTGAATTTACTATATTTTGTCCATTTTTATAAAGGAATAAACCATAAACCAAAATTTCTATGTTTTCTCAAACTTTTACCTATTCAAGGTAAAAGGGAGTTATAAAAATCCTTAACTCCCTTGGGAGTTATGATATCCTTAACTCCCGCGCGGGAGTTATGATATCCTTAAGTCCCGCGCGGGAGTTATGAAATCCTCAACTCCCTTGGGAATTAGGACCCTGTTTATGATTATCGTAACCAAGGTATTATATGGTTATAATAGTTCAGTAGGAAATAAATGCATTTTTATTTAAAAAGGTGAAGTATAGAGACCACCAGCAAAATATAAAGGTAATCATTCAAGTAAAAAATCCATATTTATTTCTTCAAAATGGGATATTCAGAGGCTAGACATGAGGAATAAACCTAAAAAACCTAGTATATTTGGAATCAGGTTTGAAAGGCTAATCCAATAGGTCAATAATATACGGGTGTTCCATTTGAAAAAGTATAACTTTTCTTCGCTACACTTTTGTGACACACCCTGTATACTTGTCACTAATTTCATTGCAAAGTTTCTGATATTGCCTATAACTTTCACATTTGACATTTCTGGGTATCTCTTCCAACAGGTGATATAGGTACTGTCTAGGCCAAGCATTAATTAATAATATGGTCACAATGCTAATTTTATGAAATTGTCATTAGCTTCACTCAACGTGGCTGAACTAGTCAATTTAATTATATCGTCCTCCAGTTTTCCAGTAAATCATTTTCATACAGTCCATTTTTTGAGTTATTCATCACGATCATAACATTGCTCCAATCGTACCGGATGGTGAGGCGAATATTCAGCCAAGAATTTCATTAATTTGATGAATTCTAAGTAAATTTGAAAAAATTGAGTGAAACGATACGACAGGGGTGACAGCACCAGAACCGGAAGACAACGAAAGTTGGCACGTTCCACAGGGGTTCTCGACTGGGCATAAGGTAAGCATAGAGGGTGAGTATTTGTGAGAATTGTATTAAGTATTTTTTGTCTGAACTATTGAAATGACCGAGGAATCGAAATTAAAGACAAAAAAGACTTATCTCAAGAGTAAACTCTCTAGGTTCCAAAACTTTTTGGAACACTGTACTGAAGATGCTTTATCTGAAGAACTAG